GAACGCCACTCTGGTGGGCGGCTGCGAAGGGCCATGAGGGGGTAGTAAGGATGCTTTTACAACGAGAGGGCGTCAATCCCAACCAGGCAGACACCAGATATGGCCAAACGCCACTCTCGTGGGCCGCTGAGAACGGGCATGAGGGGGTAGTAAAGATGCTTTTACAACGAGAGGGCGTCAATCCTGACCAGGCAGACACCAAAGATGGCCGAACGCCACTCTCGTGGGCGGCTTCGCACAGGCATGAGGGGGTAGTAAAGATACTTTTGCAACAAGATGGTGTCAATCTCAATGCCACAGACACTAAATATGGCGCAACACCACTCTCATTGGCCACTGGACGCGGACATGAGGGTGTGGTAAAGCTTCTATTACAACAAAAGGACGTCCGTCCCGACCAGGCAGATACCAAATTTGGCTGGACACCACTATCGTGCGCGGCTATGTGTGGGTACGAGGAGATAGTAAAGCTACTTCTACAACGACGGGAGGTGAATCCCAATACGGTTGACGCCAAAGGTCGGACACCACTCTCGTGGGCAGTTAAGTGCGGGCATCAGGGGGTGGTCAAGATGCTTTTAGTACGAAAGGATGTCCTCACCACCATACATGATAACAAGGGCCGAACGCCGTTGTCATTGGCTCTCTCCAAAGGACATGAAGAAATTGTAAAGATGTTACAGGATCGGGGTAATGTCAATTCCGACCCCACAGATTCCGCCGGCCAGACATCCCTTCCACCGCCCACAGAGCCTGTGGGCGAGTGTCTCGCGGCGAAGGTAGATGCTCCCGATCCCAACATTGCCGATCACGATACCCCGCCTGCACCCACATCCCCACACCCCGATGAGCCGGACGAGGTATCAGGCCTCAATGATACTATTCCTAACTCCGCACCTAGCGATCCGAACTCAACCGAACCGCCCATGCTACCTCAACTCCCTTCCACTTCGCCCCCCACGCTCCCATCTTCTCCTATTGCAACAGGCTCTCATCCCACCTCCACCCAATCAATCCTCTCAATCCTATTCGACCACTATTTCCTCATTGCCCTCTTCATTCTTCTCCTCCTTTACCTCCTCCCTTACTTCTTTCCAACCATACTCTCATCCAACAAATAATTACCACTTGTGCAGTCAGTACTATCAAGACCTTCACTTAGTTGTAAATGACCGTCATAAGACGCATTCTTTCTATTTCCAGACATCAATTTATTATGTATTTTTTAGTTTCTCTATTCTTCACTTTTCCCTTGCCCCGAGTTCCGGTTAGACCTTGCCCTGTAATTTCTTCTTATCCTTCCTTGCCATAATTCCTTAATATCCATTCCGTGTTTTCTAGATAGAACCGTCTACCACAGTACTGAACGACCCGTTACACTCAATCGTATATACATAGACTGCAACCTTAATTATTCCCGTCCTATTCTGCACTCGTAATCACCCAACTCGCCTTCTCCCGGTAATCTCCCTCAGTGCTGCCAAGTCACTACCGTCGATCCCCTACACAAACACTCGACTAGACAGTGCAGACCACCACCGAGACCTCCAGGCTAGCACATATCTGTGAACTGAACCCTCCCCCGGAATCCCAAATATGTTGTCTTATCCCAGCGAATAGGTGAATAGTTAAATAGTATTAGTATGAGCGTAAAGGGGGGTTAGCCCAGCGTGTTCTAGCGTAGGTATGATATTGAGTTCGCTGGGAGGTATATCCTCCATGTCAAGACGTCGAAAGTTGCCCGACACCTACGTGAGTATGGTACTTCCTTTACTCCTTACTCCCACACTTGTTAGCGTGCTTACAATTCAGGGAAGCAAGAGATGGTTTTTTTTGGAATAACTTGGGCGGAGGGTGGGGGTAGATGATAGATTGGGGTAAAGTAGCATAGTCTGCTCAAGCACATCACCCACTTTGTAAGAGCCATTAAAAGGATATCACAATAACTAGCAGCCAGTAAAAAAAACTACCACTAAAAATGTCCACCGGATCGCCACTCCCTCCCAGGTCCTCCCTCCTCATAACGCTACCTCACCCATCCAACCCCACCTCCCTCCCAACCCCCCTTCTGAGCCACCACCACCCCCAAAACTGCTTTCCACACCGCCCCCTCCCTCCTCCTCCAACAACCGCCTAGTGCCCTCCTCCCCCACCCACCCCTCGATCCTCCCAGCCACATCTCCAACCAGTCTCTCATACACGTCCCCCAAAAAGAACAGTCCACAATGGGCACCCACTTCATCCACTCCCGTCATTTCAACCTTGATCCAACAGGCGTCCGGTGTGCGCGGGATCAGGCAAAACTTCCTCTCGCGCTTCTTCCTTTGCTGGTTTTCAGGGGCCGGGGTCGGGCCGTGTATCGGCGAGGGGGCTGGTGATGGGGAGGGGGAGGGAGACGGTATAGAACTCTGTCCACCGTAAGCAGGTGGCTCCGGAGCGCCCATTAACCGTCGCTCTTCCTTTTCCATTCTTTCCTTCTCTAGCCGTAGTCTCTCCACCTCGCCGTCGTGCTGAGTGGCAGATTTCCTCTTTTCCTTTTTTTCCTTCTCGCGTTTCTTCCGCTCTGTCTTCTCCAGCGCTTTTTCCCAGTCTTTCACTACTTTTTCGTAATCTTTCACGCTCTTCTCCCATAATTTCATTGCCTTTGCAGCTGCTTTCTCAGCAGCTTTGCGCACTGTTGCATCCGGGATTTGCGAGTAGTCAAATTGTGTGGGCTTCGGTGGTGGTGGGGAGATTACCGGAGGCGCCGGTGGGGAAGCAGCGGAAAAGACGGAAGTAGAAGAGCCATGGTCGGAAATCCCGTGCTCAGGCGCCACTGCTGTGGTTTCTAAAATAGGCGCAGGGGTAGACCCACTTGGTTTATCCTCATAGGATGCCCCATCGGATATAGGGTCGGGCTCCAGTTGTGCCAGCGCCATTTCACCAGCTGAGATAGTACTTGTGCTAGGGCTCCTAGAGTGCGGTCTAGGGGGAGACGAGTTGACCCCAAGGTGCATTTCCCGCGTCATTTCTTGTAATTCGCTACCACCCGACCCTTCCACCCCCGCGTCCGCGAGGTCAAAGGAGTGTTCCGGGTGCACCGCTGCAGGCGCGGGCTTCGGCGGATCCTTAGAGCGCCCGGTGGAGCATGTGTAGTAGTTTACAAAACGCACACGGGTTGTTTTACCGTCCATGGCTGGCTCTCCAGTTTCGAGTTTTCGGATAGCGTTGTAGCGGTTTTTCAGGCCTGCGGGATCAGCGAGGCAGCCACTATTGCAGTTAGTTGAACGATCTCGGTACAGAGGGCGGCTAGAGCAGAAAACAAACCCGAACTCAAGATGCGACATCAAGTACTGCCCCGTCGCAGAGGTAAGATGAGAATGATGTTTATTGATAAACTTCAGTGCTGAATCCCAAGTTCCCTCTAGACCCCTATTAGCATTCACACATCGTAAGCACATTGCGATTAACACATACCCTGCTTACTTTGCACAACTGTGAAATTCCGCTGCGGTCTCTTATCAAAAAACTCATCCACGCTACTCCCAGAAGGTACCGTTGATAACGAAGCCAGACTCGAATTTTCACCTGCGTATACCCCCCCACCCTCACCCGACCCACCCTCCTCGGAAGGACTCTTCCCCTCCGATCGAAACAGACTCCCCAACCCAGCGGATATAACCCCCGGATGCATCCCCAGAAATGGCGAATCAAACGTGACAACCCCCAATATCCTATGCCTCAATCCCCCCCGCTCATCTCTCAGCAACACCACCTCCGCCGCCAGAATCCCCCCCATGGAGTGCCCAAGCAATATCACATCCGTGCCCTGATTCTCGAATTGAGCGACCCATTTGGAAAACGCCTCGGTCGCGACGGAAATGTTGTGCCTTGTCTCGAATTTCGGATACACCTTTGTGTGGACGCCCCAGCCCAAATCCTCCAAAGTGACGGACAACAAGTTGTGAAGGTGGGCAGGGAAGCTCTGGAAGCTGGTTTCGTTGCCCATGAAGCCATGAATGTAGATCAGGAGGAGCTTCCGCTTCCCTCTAGAGAGGGAGTCCGGAGCGGATTTGGAGGTGGTGGAGGCCTGCATTGCCGGATTGTAATCCCCTTGCGAGTACGAGTAAGAGCGCGAATCCTCGGCCGATGGTAAGAGAGAGTAGCTTGGCGGTGGAGATCGAGGAACAATCAGTTCCCGCGGCGGCAGCGGAGGTGGCATACCTAGCCCAGGAAGCTCTGCGATGGGATTATTCTTGCCGTCCATGTTTGTTTCGTGTTCGTCCGTTGGTTTGTTTCTTCTCCTACTTTTCTCCGGCGAAGTCAAGTCACGCCAAGTGATGAGGCTGCAAGACTTGGCAGAGGGCATGGGGGATTACGTCTTCGGATGTTAAGCGTGCCGTGCGGCTGACTCTGATCGCATCCTACGGTATGCTATTGGCTCGCTTAACTCGTGTTCACAGGATGCCAAGCGGTGACGACGACTCGAGATCCCTCGCGGAATACAATACAACACCAACCTACTCGAGCATAGTCATAGAGTATTCCTTTACCTACTGCGCTAAAGCCCTCCGGAGCATTGAATGGACTACCTTACCGGATAAATATAGGTGCGAGACGGTATCTTATCCCTTATCCTGTATTCTCGTTCACGCACTTTTAGCTTTGTACTCGTACCGACATGGTGATCAGCGATAGCTAGGGCCAGAATAAGGACGGCGGGATCTGTATCCCCTGAAGTCGCGGAAAAATTCAACCCCCATTTAAAATCTTGAGCGCTAGCCTATCCAAGTAATCGTGACAGGGAAAACCTTGTGGCATACTCGTGTCTCCGAGCCAAGAATGGGCACCTGATTGGGAATAGGCAATATGCTCCCAAAAGTAGTAAAGTGTTCATGCTATTTGAAAGACAGTGAGAGTGACGCAAGATGCCAGTAACCGGGTGGGGCATGATAATATCAATGTACGATAAAACTACCATGAAAGTTCTCAAAATTCTATAAACAAGACCGGTTCTCATCCAATGTACCGTAAGTGCTTTCACTCAATTGCGTCAAATTCAGAAATTGATACTATGAACAGTGCTATGACGAAGGGAAAGAGCCTTATCATGGCTACGCATGGTGCCATTATTGCTCTCCACAAGTCCGAGCCTGTGGAGGTGATAACAGGTTCAATGCCTAACTTAATAGGGCTGTTCACTACTGGGAGGGGGGGGGACGGGGGAGGGGAGATTGGTGAATTCACAGTATTTATTTCCACCGCCCGGCGGTGTCTTAACTTCTCCTGAAAGCAGCATCAAGACTTTACCATAAATGGATCTGGGGAGGCTATTCCAAAAGAGGTGCCTATTCTTGGCTCGGAGACACGAGTACCCTGAATGTTCCCCACCCGCAAACTTGGCCGGCGTCCGTAACAGCGATCGAAATACTCTCACCGGCAGCGATCCAGATAATTAGACTACTGTCCCCTCCGGGAGCCCTGTAATCAACATTGGCGTACTTTCCAATGGATTCAAGCGCTCTTCGCCATCATTGTCGCTGTCGCCATCATCACCTGAACGCACAAACCCGGTCGGAGGTGTATGGGTGGTCGCTCTCCCAAGGGCGCACTAATCAATCATTGATGGCCCACGAGGACACCCTCCCCTCGTGCGATAAGGCTAAGCCGTGCATACCACCAATCGCAACTGCAACCATTCCCACCTCTGAGCGGCAAACGAGAGGGGTTCTGCGCCGGAATTATTTGGTTTCTCGGTGTTGGCCTCTTCCCGCCCGAGCAGGATTTTCCCCACTTCCTCATGTCCATTTCACGCGGCGGAGGAGAGTGGTGTTAGGTCGGAATTATTTGGCCTGTCGGGGTGGCCTCTTCCTGTCCGAGTAGTATTTTTACGACTCTTACATGACCTCTTGAAGCGAGAGACAGGATCAGTGTTCTGCCGTATTTATCTGCCTTGTCAGAGTTGACATCTTCCCGCCCTAGTAGTATTTTCGCACTCCCTCATGTCTATTCCAAGCGGCAAACAAGAGCGGGGTTACGCCGGAATTGTCTGATATGTCACTGATGTCAGGGTCGGCACTGCTTTACACCATATAAAATTTTTCCGACAACCGGGTACCATAGCTTCGCAACACTGTAGTCTATCTAGCGAAGAAAATGTCCCTTTCCCCCTTTTTTCTTCTTTTCAATACCACACCACAAACAGCAGTCCCTTCTTCCCTTCTACTTCCACAACCAATAGGAAGATTGTTTTTGAACTATATTTTTCTTCAGAGCACGAAGTTAAGGCAAGTCTGACATCCAAACATCTTTCAATTTACAAGGCTAATCGGGTGACAGCATGTTTGCTAGTTTGAGATCATCCAGTATGCAAAAGGCGTTCGTCTTCATCAGAAATGAAATTCAAGGATGCGGCAGTATGTTTACGTTCTTGATATATGTCGAAATAGTGAAGTAAGCTGCTGACTAACTGAATCTTGTACTTCAAAGAATGGATCTTGAAAAACCAGACCCTTGTCGGGGTTTTGGGAGGCCCGGGTATGGTGATCGCTCATACGCATTATTGCTACACCAATATTAGAAAAGAGATCCACGATTTTCGCACCGAGGTCGATGACATGTTTGCCGGGGTCGATGACAAGTTTTCCTCGATCGAGAGAGAACTTACCAAACTTCACCAGGAAAATAAGGCTACCCAGAGGCTGATCCTCACCTCCGCAGTGAAAACAATGAAGGCCTTAGATGGGGATAAGGAAGGGATGAGAGAGTTCACCAAAAATGTGGAGAACTTTTTCTGTAGGGAGGCAGGTGGGGAGGATTGTGGGAGCTTGAAGAATGTCAACGATTGACAGTAAGTTATAGGGTTTGTCTTCAAGTGCCATGTGTACTAACTGTGATTGTAGTATTGTTTTTACGCAATGGGTTTCGGTAGGAGGGGGGGGGTAGGGGAGGCGAGACGTTGATATTTTTGTTTTCAATAATCAATTAAAGACCTTTATGGTTTACTTATCCTCTCGTCAGATTGACTATCTCCGTGTGGGCTTCTGATCTCCGCACCAGGGAGCTATGGCCTCCTCGTGCGGTGGTTGGGCCCCTGCGTGGAGATAGTTAATTTAACGGGAGGATACAGTAAACCAAAGAAGAAATCAATATTCTCTCGTTTCAGAGTTTTCTTTACCTAGCTCCTACTAACTAGACAACCCCAACCATCCTCAATAACTCCTCCTCGACAACATTGCCTTTGCCGGTTGAAATAAACATTGGAATTTACAGCAGTTAAAGCGGCAAAGACTGGAAGATGCCCCAATTCATCATCAAATATAATAGCAACTCCTTCAATATGAACAATGTTAATGTGTGGAACAATTATACAGTTGCCGATGATCGATCAGAGCTTCGAACCTGGTTATTACCCCAAGAGCCCACGTTACAGCATTTGGACGGCTAAGTGCGCCGTGTCGGCAATGTGCGGGAATGCCTTATGAAAACTGAGGGGTTTAGATAATGGTATGAGTGGAGCGGGGAAGGTGAAAGAGATAAAACAGTCTTGTTTTGCTATGGAGATCCTAAGGTAGGTAAGACATTTATCAGGTAGCGAGGATTATTCCTTCAGGAGACCTAGAATAGAGCTAGTGCTAACACGTTGCGCTACTAGTTCGCTAGTAGTGGATAGAGTATGCTGTCAGGCTCAAGGACAAACACCGCTGTTGCGTGTTTACACTTTGACTTCGCGGCGCAAAAGGTGCGGTCTGCAACCGGTATGCTGGGATCCTTGGTGAAACAGATGGTGAGCGGAATGGAAGGGATTCCGAAAGCAAATTCACAGGCTTATCAGGAGCAGAAAAAAGTAATTGGTGGACGGGGACTGAGACTTCCCGATATCGTAAACATGCTGCAGATAATCACGTCCTCGCAGTGCGCATTCATGTGCATCGACGCCCTTGACGAGTGTGCAGCGGCGCATCAAGTCAAGCACCTGGATTCGCTGAAACAAATCCTCGAAAGGTTCCCTGGGACACGCATATTCGTGACTGGAATGCATCATTTGCAGGCTGGGGTCGAAAAGCGGCTCTCTGGACGAGTGAAAAAGTATATCTGTCGGGCCCAGCAAGGATGCTATCATGACGCGGGAAACGGACAATACATAGGGGGGATAGAGGTATAACCCCTCATATACAACCTAGTTTCCAAGCTTACTAAAGCGAATCTCTGGTGTAGGAGAAGTATCTAGAGGACCTTTTAACACTCATAATACTTCCAACCTGTATCGCCTGCTGGCCTCGGTACCCTGCGAGAATGATGAAGGGAATCCATTACGAGCAATCTCCCCCACCTAACCAGCGTTGCCCCATGCAGGGTCCACCGATGGTGGTGGTGGCCTACTGCTAGGTGGAGTGCAGGAGCCACCGGATAATAATGTTCACAATTATTCTAGCGGGCTTGCCCCGGGACCGCCGAGGCACAAAAGGGGATTTGTACTGAAGTTACATGGTAATACACCTCCGCCTTGGAGCCCCTTGGCCCCTCAGAGCTAATAAGGTATAGTGTCCGGCACCGGCAGATAGTGATGGGCACGATCAGATCATGATCGAGTTTTGCTCGAGCAGGTCATGCTCGATCACCCTCGATCATAAGGGTAACTCGATCAGATTATGCTCGAGCAGGACCCTCATGATCTGCTTGAGTTGCTCGAGTAGGGGTTCTGCTCGACCATGTTCGATCATGATCGATCGTGATCGATGACTCTATCAATACCTATACATATATCTGTCCTGGAAATGACACGATATCTATTAATATAATCATTGGCTGCACCACACACTCAGTATCATGCCCCTGATAATGCACTTCACCGAACCCCCAACACCGTGACAACCTGACCCACCAATTCACTTGTCTAAAATGCCCTTGCTCTAGACAATGATCTCATGAAATCCCAAGTTGATATCAACTTCCAAGAGCCAGGGGTAGAACGGAATATAGATATTATCGAGTGGTTGGAATTCCACCGACAACAGCTACCAAATATTGCTTTAATGGCCCATGGATAGCCTTTGACTAACACTCTTGCAAAGTGTTCCATCAGAGCACCCGCAG